CAGTTATGAATGAACACTTCGTATTCTTGTTTAAAAACCAGTTGTGAAAACAATAATAAAAAAGGGTTTTTCTTAACCAGTTAAGAAAACTTAGTTATGAAAGTGAACTAAAGGGTTTGTTGTAGGTAGTATTTCTAATTGTATGTGACGAATTTCATTTTGAGTTTGGTGTGGTTGTGTGTGTGTGTGTAAAAAATTTGTTTTTTATTATTTATGTGGCGTATTTTTGTGTATAAATAATATTTTATTTTAATGTTTAGTTGTCTATTATTTAAACTACAGAAGCACATTAGAGCAGGTTGTAAATAGAAATAATTATATGACGAGTTATACATTTTTCTTACAGAAGATATATATGAAACGGAAACTAGTCACTTAGAAAAGTTATGTAGATCTTTTTCTTCCTTGATACGAATTGGTGTCTGTCCTTCTTCCCTCTTAATGTATACTTTACCATACATCGTCCAGCATGCTGCTATCTTCTTACTTTTTACCAACTCCCTCCCGAGATAATACATTCTCCCAGCTTTGTTAGTAAGAGATTCCGATATACATATACATATATGGTTTTAGGAGGTCCAGGGACTTTTATATGCTGTGTATTTACTTGCCGTTGTTTGGTATCATAAAAAAAAATTTCAATGTCAATTACTTATTTCTATATATTACTCATTAGTTGTAAATACTATGAAATACATCTACTCGTGTAAGAAAATAATAAGAAAATTATAGACTTTTTAAATAGATGATTGCAGGTCGTCTGGTGACCAGCTGGCTTGTCAATCATTATTAAACACTTTGTTGTTCTAAGGCGGTTAACGAGTGGAAAAAACTAGTAGGTTCGTTAATAGACTTATGTACGATAAATAAAAACATTGACCTATGAATAACACGCCATACCTATCGGCAAAATTAATAAAAAAACACGTAATGTAACTTTTTGTGTCCGATAGATTTGATAAGTTTAGGTAATCTACGAGCCCTGTACCCCAACTACGGTGGGGTCGGGCTCGGCCTGCGGCGCGTGGTCGGGTTCATTTTACGGGGTGTGCTCAAGCTCTTCAATGGCACAGCAGTTAGTACTACGGGCACTTAATGAGGAGTTCGATTCCCGATTTGGGCCTATTTAAGAAACGACCATTTTTCTAAGTTGGTTTTTTTCGTCTGATATTCTAGATTATCGTTGTATCGGTATTCATAGTACAGGAATTTCGGCAGTGGTTTGGCATTTTCCCCCCTAAATACTTCTCTTTGGCATAGCTTTCAAGAAAATGGAATCTAACAGAGAGACGGTCGAGATACAACAACGCTATAATAAGTATCTGATTTCCACTACATCGGGAAATATACCTTACATTTTGAACAATTGTGAAATCTTGTACCGTAATAGAGTCTCCGTATACTACCTACGTAAGGTGGCGTACGGACGCTTCGGGCTTCGCCCACCGCTACATCTCGGCCTACAGCCGTAAAAAGCTAAAAGTTAATTTTGACTGCAAATTATTATTAAACACCTATAGAGATCCCCACACGCCGATTTTCAGCTGATATAAAGCAAATTTCCATCTGCCGCCAAAAAGTTTGTATGGCAGCCATATTAAAAAATGGCGAAAAATAAATTTTGACCGCAAATTATTATTAAACACCTATAGATTCCACCACATGCCGATTTTCAATCGAATAAAAGCAAATTTTGATCTGCCGCCAAAAACAGTTCTATGGCAGCCATACTGAAAAATGGCGAAAAACCAATTTTGATCACAAATTATTATCAAACACTGCTAGAGACCCCCATATGCCAATTTTCAAAGGGATCTGAGCAATTTTTTTTCTGCCGCCAACGAACGCTTCTATGACGGCCGTATTTGAAAATGGCGAAAAACAAATTTTTCTTCGGCCTCGATTTTGAAATCGCCATCTTGAATTTTTTTTAACCCAGGCAGTTGACCAGTGTTACCCTCTATGACATTCCTTTTAAAATTGACCAGGTTGTATCTCATAGAAATGCACAAAAATCCCCCCCCATGTATTTTAGTTTTTGCAGACCGTTGATCACTCGTTTACATTTTCCACATTCAGGTCTTCTCATATTTGATTCTTTGCCTTGGAGCCTATCCGCGTACAACTGTATAAATATATTTTTTCCACCATATCGGGAAATACGCGTTCTTATTTTTCTAAGTGAGTCAGGATTTGTAGCTTTAGATATATAATAATAAATAATGGTAATCCTCAGTCTAACGAACGAAAAATTAATAAGTACGGACAAATTCGACTGTCCGTACAAAAACCGCGCTTGTTACTTGCATGTCTTTGTATGTTACTAACCATCTATAGATTTTAATGAATTAAATTTTTAAGTTTTAGATATAATATTTTTATGTAAATATGGATTATAATCAGCTGAAATAAAATATTTTTATTTTATTTATTTAATTATTTATAAGCAACTTTATGTCAATTATAATGTAACGTACAAAAGTAGATACCTACGAGCCAAAAAACAGGTCGCACGTCTTCCGGAGAATTGTCACGCAATCTTTGGATTTCCCGCAGCTGCCGTGCTATTTCGTTACAATAATACGCTTCCATTCCGATTCACGGCAGTATAAATTGAGCCTTAAGCCCAAAACCCATTGACTGGACGGTATGGTAAGGGATCCTTCAGCATCCCTACATGCAAGCGCACACTAGCATCCCGTAGCGTAGGTAGTGACATCGTGCTCGCGTCTAGGTTCTGTTCAAATCAGTCGTGCCGAAACATCCCGACGGCCGTAGAGGCATTTCAGAGGCTGCCGATTCGGTATCGTTGAAGCGTGTTTTACGCTTAAGCTTACCTGAGCTTTGTTTTCGTAGCTACGACCATTATCATTGAAATTTAAACTATAGTGTGATAACATTAAGGTATATTACTATTCGTCACCTAAAAATCCCCAGGCGTGACGTCCCGTCAATGGGTGTCGTGACTTATGATAAATTTGAGCTATGACATGACATTAAGATATATTAGATGCTGGGATTTATACTTATAGTGCTGGGAATTCCCTAGTTATGTGGATTGTCCGGTAAAGTTGTTTATTTATAAAAACCTTGTTTCAGAACAAATGGCGTCTCCGGCACAATCCGCGCTGGTGACAAGATATGCGTAATGGACAACAAATGCAATAATCTCAGCTCGCTTAAAGCATACAGGAGGCAGTCCTGTTACATCCTACAGGATGACCGACTAAACCCTCTCTTCACTGTTGGCGAACTCATGAAGTTCGCAGCTGATATGAAGTTGGGACATACATTCACTGAAAAAATGAAAACTACTGTGGTAAGTAGGCGTTATTATATTGCGTGCGCAGGGAAGATATTTTCTTCTCTCTTTCTACTTCTGCCTTTCAATCTTTTTGGGTCTTCACATATTCGAACAACAAACTCTTGGCATCTTCAATGTCTTTGTCAAAATTCGAAGTAAGGTTTCGTAGTTCATAACTTGAAGTTTATTTTGGACGAAACACAATAACTCACTTATTACTATGTTACAACTACTACACTTAACAATGGTCGACTAAAAGCGAGCGAATTTTTCATCATAACATATTTTACTTAGTTGCTTTTAAGATAAACTCTTGATTACATAATTTTATGTCAATAATATTGTCATATTATCATATTATGACAATAAAAATAAATATTTTGTTTATCTATAACTAAATAGTTTAATATACTCTCGTTTCTTTCAGATAAACGAAATCCTGGACACGTTAGCCCTATCAAACACGGAAGACACACGATGCGCCAATCTCTCTGGAGGACAGAGGAAAAGACTCTCTATTGCCGTAGAGCTCATTGACAATCCACCTATCTTATACTTAGATGAACCTACTACGTTAGTATATTTACATTGAAAGTTTGCTGTAAAATGGGTGAATGTAATTGGATATCAAACAATTTTAACGCATATAAATCGCATTAAAACATTTTTTTATAAATAGTTATGTTTCCAATGAGTAGCAAATTGCGAAAAACGTAAGTCAAAATACCATTTTTTACTTTTTTACTTAAATATTAAATTATTTTTATGCATATTATAGGTTTCATATTTAAAAGTAAGGAAATCACTTAATGTTATGGTTATTTTCAAACATGGAACCCATAATATATTTATAAAATATATATTTAAGTTCAAAGGCAAAAAATGGTATTTTTACTTATTACAACTTACGTGTGAGGTATCCATAAGTCAATGGAGGTATCGATTTGTTGCTACGACGTGCGCTTCACGAACGCTCGTTTACGGTGCCGCAAACGCGCGTCATCTGCGCGTATACGTGCCGCACAATGGTGCACTGGCGGAAAAAAGTAATTTGTATGAACATTTATCTAAACAAATTTTACATTATTAATACAAAGCTCGAATACTCAGAAAAAATTCCTTCGATCCGGCCGGATTCGAACCGACGTCTTCTAGCATACCGCCTATCTAGTCAGCCGTGACCACGGGACCTGTAAAGGGCCCGAAACGTCGGTTTGTTTGAAAAAACAAATATACGCGATTTAAATCCGGAAAAATAGTTTCATTTCCTATGTGTAACAATCGCGAAAACCTAAGAACTCAACAATATATAATATAATGTAATATTGAAATAATCGTTTCAAACGAACTGTTTTCTCCTTTGTAATGAAAATTATTAACACCGAAATTGTTAATTATACGAATATTTTATTATCACAAAAATATTTATTTCATCCTTAAATACCCTAAAAAAACCAATAGTTTTGTTTTACTATAAAAACATAATATTCTTCGCGGTGCCACACAGAGTGCACCACTGTGTGCCGCAGACGCGCTATAGTGAATCTATTCAAAATGCAAACTTCGCATTACAAGCAAGAAGATATACATACTCCACTGGAGTTTACACTTAGAATTTCATGTAGTTGCTTCATTTCGAGAACCAACTGCAATTAACAAACAAAACTAAAATTAAAACCATCTGTTAACAAAATGCGCGATACATACTGTAGCTGCGCTGTAGCCGCGCGCGCGTATGTATCGCGTATACGCGCAGATAACGACTCCAAGACTATACTGTTTATACATGGTGTTAGATTGTGAATGTTAGGTTTACAATGGTCACTAATACTTAGGTAAAATTTTCGGATCTAAAATTGCTTTTCTCAAACAAACCAACGTTTTGAGTTCCTTCTTTTGGTCACCTGGACCATGATCACATCTGTTACTATATAATATATATATATTATTGTATATATATCAAACATTTGTATCTAATAAACGCGAGTTTAAGTTTAAAACTATATAGTTTCTTTTCCAATTATGTTTTTTTTATTTTTTCATTTAATGCTCTAGGGGCGGCTTATACACAGCAGTGGATGCGTGTAAGCGCATAATGAAGTAAAAATTCTTTACCAAGTTTTAAATAAAGGAAGTAGCGTATGTTGACATAGAAGAAAACAGAAATAAATATAAAATTTGTACTTGAAATGCATTTCGTTAAAGGTAGTTAGTTAATTTAATCGGAACTTGAACGTCTAAGGTTTCATGCAGTTCGTATTATTTTTATAACTATTATGTGATGAAAGTACTTTTGACGTATCACCACATATGGCTTTATTATACCAATGATACGAGAACAACATTTTGGCCGCCTCCAACTTTCTTCTAGCTAAACATTGACTTACAAATAAAAGTCAATGTAGCTAAAATTAAAATTCGAGACCACTACCTTGTGGACTAGAGGAAGGTTCACTAGAACTTTTATTCTTTAACTAAGCTTCCCCAAACGAAATAAGCTTCTCTCGTTATGACCTTCTTCCCAAAACAATCGTGCAATCAATATCAATTATTTTCTGGCCAACCCACTAATATTCATTTCATACAAATTTCTAAAACTTAATAACATAAAACTGTAATCAGCAACCAATTGCTTATTGTCGACTATACTCAGTCCATAATGTTCTATTCCAGCGCAAAATCTATTCAATAACCATAAATCCATCTAATAACCGGTAAATTATTTTAATAACCGGCAATTTGTTCAATCGTGACACTGAGTCTTCCAACTGTGACGTTAGAGGAAACGTCGCGCAAAACGACGACGGTGCCATATCCACATAAAACTTGACTTGATTTATTTCTCAACCTATTACATACATAAATGTTTTTTTGTCTTCTAACTTCAAGTAAGTACCATTTCAATCTTATATTGTCTCTATTATCTTTTCCAGAGGTCTAGACAGTTTAACCTCAGCTCAGTGCATTCAAATGCTGAAGAAACTAGCGTGGGAAGGCCGCACCATCGTCTGCACTATCCACCAACCCTCAGCGACCATTTACTCCTTATTTGATCAGGTAAACTTCATCTATACATACGATTGCTAATTTAGTTTTGTTACGGATACGAGTATACTTCAAAATTATAGATTTGAAGACGTTTTTGTGCAGTACTGTTTAAGTCGTGATCCATAAGGATGTTTGTTTATCTACTTCATTACACGTTCCACTGATGGACACGGGTGTACTAAGCAGAGAAGGGTTAGGTCGTGGTCCGCCACGTCGGTCCAATGGAATTTTAGTACTACATGGTTTCCAGCAACGTGTATAAAACTTCTTCGATAATTGTATAATAAATATTTTAACCCATCAAATAGTATGATCAATTCACGGTTATTTATGTAAAATATATACCTTATACATATATTTAGTAGCAGTAGGTTTCTTGTGAAAGAGTCGAGAGAGAGTCCAGGGAAGTACTGCCACCTTACCTATTTCTGCCGCCAAGTATAAAGGCCCATTTATATGGGGAGAGTTTCTCGTCTCGAACTCGCACCCACGTAGACCAAATTCAAGCCGAACTCGCCCGCATGCCCGGAACGCTCATTTAAGTTAAAACGTAAAAACTAATTGAATAGAGCGTATTTTGCCATGACTGTATATTCAAAGGCGAGGCGATTATCGTTCACGTGGACGGTCGATAATCGCGAATGTTTAGACGAGGAAAGTTTTTTATATTCTTTCGATAATCGTATCTTTGAGACGAGAAACTCTCTCCATCTAAATGGGCCTTTGGACGAACGCGGTCTCCGGCCACGCGCTGTGAGCGCGACGAAATTTGTGTCGAATAAATGCCCTAAGGGTAACAGTGAAATTAAGGCACATGGCACTCGTCAATTTACGTCTCAAGGTGACGGGCGTAGTGGCAGTGCCCCACAGATCTTTGCGATTTAAACCTCTGAGCGGAACTGCCTTGTTATGGAAAGGCGTGTCGCTTACCACCAGGCGCACCACTTGTTCGTCCCGTTCGCTTGTTGTCATAAAAAAAATGAAAGAATACTTATCGTATACCAACTTCTTATCGTATCGATGGCATTCACTATGCTGCTTGCCATATCGTGAAGAAAGTATTAGCCAATCGGCAACCGATTGTTGCACTGGGTGCGCCAGACGTACAGAAAAGGAATGTTACTTCGTACGAGGAAGTTTCTCTATGACTACTTTAAAAAGGCATGTTATTTTTTTTAATAGAAAAATCACCATGAGCCTCAGACATATTAACTAAAATAACGCATAACTCACATATTTAAGTCGAATTTTTGCTCGTCATGTTTCGAATTAGTCCGTGGTCCTTAATCATGATATTCCGCGGCGGCGACTTGACGGAACAGTAAAATAATGTGTAAAAAAACAATAATGGCGGCTTCTAGTGCGGTTCGTAATATATAACAACAAATGACATATTTTTAGTCGATATGACCCTCAACATATATAATTAATTTATGGTATGCAGACATTTGACATATTCTTGCATGATATAAAGGCTTACACTATTTCCATCGTCTAAGTATAAAGGTCACTGGGTACATAGAGCGCACTATAAGTTTCCGGAACTTATAGGTCGCACTATATGTTTCCGGAACTGGCCACTTACATAAACAATATTTATAAAGTAATTAAAACATTTGAAAATTGAACTCTTTGGCTGTAGAATACTATTTGTTTCATCTAACTGTCACTTGTTTTTACATTGTGGCGTCATTTTAGAAATTGGTTGTGTACATCACCATGGATTTAAGTTGTGAAAATTTTCGTAGTGTGATTTTCTACGATTTCAAGTGTAAATAACAGCTCAGCGGAGTTTCGTTCGGCTTCAAACTGCTTTTAGCGATGAAGCACCATGCAAGACGACTATTTATAGCTGGTTTGCAGAATTCCCACGCGGTCGTGTAAATCTCACTGACGAATGTCGTGAACAACAAAAACATCTATGCTGTGCGCAGTATGATCAGAACAGACAGGCATGTAACATACCATGAGATTCGGGAATCTTTAGGCGTAGGTATGAGTTAAATACAATCAATACTACACAAACATTTGGGTGTGGAAAAGCTGTGCTCTCGGTGGTTTACACAATTTGACTGAGGCTCAAAAAACTTGGTGCAATGCCATGCTTATCAGATTCAATGAAAGGGCGTCAAATTTGGAAATAGACATAGTAACAGGTGACGAAAGATGGATTTATAGATACGATCACAAAACAAAGTAGCATTCGAGCGTATGGGTCTTTCGAGATGACCCGAAACCAACCAAAG